CGTCGCCGCGCCGCACGGCTCCGTCCTCGTAAGACGTTTTGTCGTACCGGACACGAGCGTCGCAACCGTGGCCGCCGGCGCGAGCTCTCCCCACCCGCGGGGCCCTCCCCCCCGTCAGGGTGTCATCCATGTCCTCCGAGGCCGAGCCGCTCTGCCATGACGAATCGCTGTCTTCATCACATTCCCCGTTTCCGTCTCCGGGACCTTTATCCAGGTCCTTCAACACGGACTCCGACCTCGCCTGCTCTGTCCTGGTGTCCCCCGTTTCAGGCGGACTCCGCGCGGCCCGGTCGTGGGCGCTCCTCTCCGGACCCGTCTTCACGGCTTTCGGAGGTTTAATCGGAGTAGAGGACAGCCTGCGTCTCCTGCAGTCCAGCCGGTCCAGGTGCAGCACCCTCTGCACGAAGGAGGAGTTGCTGGAAAAGGATATTTCATCCGCCGCCTGTTCCAGGAGCTCAAATTCATCCAGCTCCAGGTTCTCCTTCTGCTTCTCTTTCTCCCAGCTCTCCAGCTTCCTCTGGAAGGACAGCTCAAAGGAGTACTCTTGCTCTGGAGGGGGGATGTGCATTGATGTTTTCGGTGGCACACACTGTTTTGTCTCCTCTGAGCACCCCTGCTTCGCCGGGGCCGTCTTGCCAGGCCCGGCACAGGCCGGCAGGGAACCTCCTGCTTTTTTGCCTTGAACCTTCACGGCCAGTGCTTCTTGGGCCTGTCCCGAAACACTCAGCTGTTTTGACTCTACAGCAGCGCTGTGCCCAGCGGCACTGCCAAGAACATTTTGCGCCTTGCTTCCCTTGGCCAAGGAGACAACCTGCGACCTGTTTGGCGGGCCTGTCAGGCGCTCAGAGCTGCTTTCTTTGCTCAGTATGGCAGTCTTGCGCTGTACGGGCTGTTGACTGCTTCTGGGCGCCACTGTCCTCTGGCAGCTCGTCTTGGGCTGGGGTTTAGCGTCAGTTTTACTTGTCTCTTTGACTGGAGCGGCCTTTCCTTTAGTGAACCGAGAAAGACCCTCTCCTCGCTTCAGGAACGCCCTTTTCGGCTGGGCTTTTACCTCTGCTGCAGCCCGGCCCTTTAGAAACAGGAGATAACAGAGTCACTCTTATAGCTAAATGCTTCGAGTACAAAAGGTCCAGGGGACACGAAACTGAAAGACTGAAGAAACCTATGAGTCGAATTATTTTTTCATCACAGTCGGTAATCGAAGTGGGTTGTTCCCCTGTGTGTTTGTGATTGCCCCTATATAATTACCAAACAAATGCAAAGTCTTTACAATATTCATAAGAAAATACTTACTCTTAATAAGCCAATCATCTTTTTAAAAGTTTGCTTAATTATGAACAAAATTACATGATACAGCCATGATAATTTGGGGTCAATTAAAAACAATTCCATAACTTTTCTAAAACATAACGGATATTATATCATTTTTCAAAACTTTTCCAGGTCTGGAAAATGACATTTTCCAGGATTTCCATGACCGTGGAGTATGGTTGTTCTGCATCAGGACCACAGCAGTCATGAACATGCGGTACTGTTTTAATCCAGGGCCAGATTCATCTCCATGGCATGAAGTGGGAAGTGTGGGTCAACAGATCTGACGGTGCGCCGACCTGCTCCCGGTTTTCTCCCAGCCTCTGTTCCTCCAGCCTCATCTGCTCCTCCAGGAGCTCCTCGAACGTCTGCTTCCGGCCGCCAATCCCAGGCTTGATGGGCCTGTGTGCACCGAGATCCGCAACAAGTTAACATTGGAACAAAATGTGCAGGGTCGCTCGGTTTCTCATCCGGGCTCATGGAGGATTCTAAACGACGACTAAAAGAATCAGAATTCTGAAACAACACGGAACATTGCTCTGCACCAAGTAGGGGCTTTATCTATCTAAAAAAAGTTTTTGGAAAGATCTGTGCTTTGGAAGGGGTCTATGACGTGTGCATCTTCCCAGACTTGGACGTACAAGTCCTTGAAGCCTGGCGGTTCAGTTACTGATCTATTTCCAGTCTCGCCCTGTGCAATTTAAAATGTGCTCACAATGGCAGAACACACCAGCATCAATACAGTATTCCTGCTAATATGCACTGTGACAGACGGCAATATTACAGTCAACAATACAAGATCTTAAACCGCGAAAGGAACTGGTACCATCTTTGACTGATTTTTGGTGAAAAAGTTAGATTGAACATGTTTTAACACTTGATACGTGCCCCATCTCTCGTACTGAGACACCTTCATTCTGCCGGCAGATGTAATGAAATTCATCATCAAGGCCCATTCCGTGCTCCATGTGGTGGTGGTGATGGTGAACGGCGCAGCCCCTGCCTGGGTGGGTACCTGTCACTAGGCAGCGGGCGTCCTTCTCGTGGAGAAGCTGCTCCGGCTGGACCCGGAGCAAATTCGTCCCTCGCAGCTGGGTGGCTGCACTGGGGCTCGTCTTCATAACCACTGCTTCTGCACAGCTCTTCTCCACTCGGATCGTCACTCCACAAGCTTCTTCCTGTTCAAGACAGGACTTCTCATATGAAACATCACAGTAGTAAAGGACAGCGGTGTCTTTCACGGTCAGAGAGAGCTGCTCAGGTCACTGACAAACCGCGGACTACAGAGGAGTGTCCCGAACGCCTGGGGAGAGCTACTGACACCCCCAGAACACAATCATAAGCACTTCCTCTAGTATGTCAGGACGTGAATCTCTGAACCACACCAAGATCACAGAGCACTGTGTGTGGGCAAGGAGATCTACCCAGACTGCAGTCGGAGTCCTCCTCTTCCTCGGTGTCAGAAGTGGCGCCTGCAGCCCGCTGCAGGACACAGGGGCTCCCTCCGAGAGCGCCAAGGGCAGGGCCCCCGTCCACCTGCAGCCCTGGGGTGCACTGATCCAGAGGAGCCTCCCAGTCACCCGGGGGGTCGGGCTGCACTTCCGGGGTGAGAGGTCGTTCCCAGAGCTCCTCTCCCTCGACAGCCTGAGGCGCGTCCGGGTCGTCTGAGGAAAACAACCATCACTGCCCATCCCTCAAGTAACGATAACTTAGCTCATTCAAAAAAACAAACAAAAGCTATACACTTTCAGAAAAAAAATTAAATGTACCTAAATTAATCCAATTATCCCCCATATACATATTAACATCTGAGAAAAACATTATTCAATCTGCTTATTTAAGAATATCTAGCAAATCAGAATGGCTTTAACCCACAAATAAATAAAAAAATCTATAACCGTACTCCAGAAAAAAGCTATTTTTTTGTTCCAATGCTCCTTTTTCTAAATCATTTTACCAGTGTTTCTTGTTAGGAACTGGGCTTCAGCTCCCCGGTGATGGGCAGAAGCGAGTTCAACAGTACCTGCGAGGGCCCGCGGACCGGGCCCGCTGGCTGTACCTGCGAGGGCAGCCTGCCCCTCTGCCTGTGATGGCGGCCTGCTGGCTGTACCTGCGAGGGCCTGCTGGGCGGAGGCCATGTGCAGCAGTCTCTGCTGCTCCTCCAGCAGTCTGCGCAGCTGCTGCATCTGCTGGTTCTTCAGCTGCTCCTGCTTCTGCTGCTGCCACTCCTTCAGCTGCAAGGGCAGGACTGTCAGAACAGCGCGAGGAGGGGGCTCTTTTCCCTGTGCCACACTCACAAACTACCTGCCCCCCCCTGCCCCAGCAGGGAAATCCTGCAACTCCAGAACAGTACAGACGCTGGCTGGCTACATTACTGCAGGCAGCGAGGGACCTTGTCTGTATATCCAACGTGAGGGATATCTCTGCCTACGAGGAGGCCTACGAACATCAATAAAAAATTATACCCATCACGAGCGATAAGCCGATCTCATCTGAGCTTTTTTGGGGGTTTGGTTTTGTGCCCTTACTTCAAACAGAGAGTGACAGCTGACCACAGGACTGTGTTAAAACTCGTCTCTGGAACCAGTCACAGATGAGTGTGGGCTACACCTGAAAGGAGGAATGAAATGCAGATACAGACATGTATCCTGGATGACTGCACCTGTTCCAGCTGTCGCATTAAGGGAGCGCTGTGCCTCTGTCCCGCCGTGTCGAGCTCCTCCGGGCTGCCCAGCCGAGCAGCCGGGCCGGGCGCTGCGGACTCCGGGCCGGCCGGGCCGAGCGAGTCCACGCTGAGGCAGCTGCTGCTCCTGGACACGGGCAGAGGCAGGAACTGCGCGGAGAACGAGTCGTCTCCGCCCGGGGCGGCCGGGCTCCCGTCCCGGCCGGCGCGGCTGAGGAGGGCCGGCGGCGGGTCCAGAATCACCCCGGCTCGGGGGCTGCACGACATCCAGCGGGCCAGGAAACTGGGTTCGGGCTGCAGGCCCGCCGAGGCCGACATGGTGGAGGGGACGCAGCGCTGGGAAGGCAGAGTTCAGCTCAGAGGGCTCCCATTGAGGGGCTCAGCGGCGTCTCACTTCAAAACCTAGGACATTCACGTCATCAGATGCACGCATTTATCGGGCAGAAAATAACAGATTATTGTTGCAGAAACTTAACAGACTAAAATCCAACAGACATTAGCTCGGGCAGGAATCTCATCATCCGAAATCCACTTCACCTTTGCCCCTTTTTGCACCCCAGTCTAACCTCATCGCCGGAGATCTGAACGTACCCATCGCACGTTTCTCCGTGTGAAAAGACGGAGATGCTCATGTCTGCCCGGAAAGACTCACCAGAAGCTGTCGTTCCCCGTTTCTCCAGTGTCTCCTGGAGCTGCAAAAAGATATCGACCCGCGGACACGAAAGGAGAGCCGCGGGTTCACTACAAGCGCTTCGACCAAGACATAACTTTTTGCATTCCCTTTTGAACTATCAACCTTACCCCACAGCTACACGACGGCCCGACTCACGCAGGACCGAGCAGCAGTGAGACGGCAGAAGCGCACTTCTTCCGCCTGCAAGAGCTTTACACGTCTGCCGCTGGACTAGTGTAACATGTCCACGTCTTCAGCTATGCATGTGCAAAAATGGCCCCTTTTTCAGTTCGTGGGGGGCTTTCCCGAGACACCGCACCGTCCTCTCGCCGTTCAAGACCCCGGGACATGCGTTGTCCATCTCGGCAAAAAGAAATCGCACCAAACCGGGCTCCTGTGTGCGAGTCCAGCTTAACATTCATTTGTCGACCTCCTCTCTCACATCACGAATCTGTGCCAAATGGCAAAGGACTGTCTGCATAACTTTCTTAAGAGACGGATGTTGTTGTTGTTTTTTTTGTTTTGCACATGTCTAATCCGAGTTGTATTTTATTGCCAGCGTAACCCTGTTTGAACGGGGTTGTCTCCGCTTTCCAGAGCCTTTTCATCGGCAGGATATCAAAACTTTTAGAGCCGGGACGAATTCAAAGGGCTGTGTCAAACCGAGTTTTTTTCAGCGGAGATTTACTCACCTCGTCGATCCCAGACGTTTGGAGACTATGTATGAATGCACGAACTCACGCAGATGCGAACTGGGGAAAAAACACTTTCCGAATATACCGCCATATAAAAACAATACCCGCGAGAGAGACAACTCAGCGCCAGGGCTATGGGTTATGGGAATTGTAGTTGGACAGGCGGAGTTTTCACGCAGCTAAAGGCGAGGAGTTCTGATTCTGGACTACATCTCCCACAGTGCAGTGCTCCGAGGACGTTACAGGGTTGAACCGCCGGTGGGGTACGAGGTCGCCCGTGTTTGCGCTGTTGTCAAGGCGGCGGGGAGACGCTAAAGGTGTTGACATTTTGTATTTGTCCTCTTCTCTGCTGTCAAAAATGCGATGAAAGACGCATTTCGCAAGACCTTGCTGTTCTTATCACAAAAGCAACGGCACAGGACCGCGCTCGAAGCAGCGAAATTAAATCTTGTTCTCTCGTCTCCAGGGCCCGAAAAAAAGATACTTCTTCACTCATTCTTGAATGTCATCCTACTGTTAGTTACCGTTGGTCAAGAACTCTGTTTTGTTCAACACAAGTTTACGATACCGAGAAACACGGACCCTATAACACTCGTAACTATATTTTTTCTTCTTTCAGCCTCATATACAGTGTAGTAAAATCTTAGTCTATCCCCGTGGCTCTCCAGTGTGAATAAACAGATCTACACAGTATATACTGTATAGACTGTACACGGTCTTCGCTTTATAACGCGTTTTTTTCCTCTCTCCCCCGCAGTCGCAGCTCTGCGCAGACCCTGCCAGATGCGCGTTCTGCCGGGCGGCTGCGTGACGTCACACCTGCGCAGCTCAGCGAGTCTGCGGCTGCCGAGCGCTAGGAAGAACAATATATTTGCCCTTTCACACAGCTGGGACTCCCAGCAGCTACAAACTTTTAAGTCGCACCCCACAACGATCCCACCTCCCCCCAGGTAAAACTAAACAGAGCTGTATCGCTTTCACAGCCGCCATTTCGTCTAGTCCTCTGGTGCGCAGTAAGGAGAAGTTGTTTTCTTTGGACTGTGTAAGGCATTAAACAAGACAAGACAAGAACTTTTCTCGGAAGCGGAACTGTTTTATCCAGGAAGGACAGGATATAGTCTGTGCATTTGAGTCGGTCCTGTTTTCTTATTCGTCGCTTTATTTTATCCCTTTTATTCAGACAGAAGACGTCTTCCGCGTCCGGCAGCCGTGGTGGGAGCTGACCAGTTCAGAGGTTCAGGAACCCAGGCGGATCTCTCTGGGGTCCGATAACGAGCAGATTGAGCCGACCTGTAAGAGCCCAGCTGTCCTGACCTGTCCTGTTTGTGTAAACACAAACACAAACACAAACACACACACACACACCTCTCAGGAAATACACCTTCACATGTCCTCGGTGGCTTGGGATCGGTTTCTGCTCTGTTCACGGACTGTGTGTCGTGTCGTGTAGGTGAGACCGAGCTGCGCTCTCCTGCCTTCTGACGCGTCTCCCGTCGGCTGCGCAAAGGACGCTAAACCATGCCGGCCTTTGACAACTGCCTTGTGGCCCTGGAGGTGAAGGACCTGCACATCGGAGAGAAGAAGAAGTTAAAGGCTGCAATAACAGACAATGGGGGGAGCATTGCTTTTGTCATCAACAAGAAGGTACAGTGTCCCTAAAACGTGCATGAAGCAGGGAGCAAAGTTCTGATGGTAGAACAGGCTTCGTGAAATGCTACATTTTTTTAGAAATCAGTGGATTTCAGTTGTGGACGTGACCTGTGGGCACACATTTATGACAAACATTGAAAGCCGTCTGTGCCGGGACTTGCAGGAGGCACTGGTTTTGGTAAACTTAAACAGGCAGCAAGCTTGCATTCACTCTGAACTTTCTAGTTTGTCATCACCAATGATATCTTTTACGTGTAAAGTGCCTTTCCAGTCCCAAGGATGCTGTACGTAGTGATAAAAAAAAGTACAACTAAAAGTAAAAGGAAAAAATAGACAAGAGCATACAGGTTCATACAGATAGAATGTGGGACAATCAGCCACAGGTAAAAAAAAAAAAACAGAAGTTTTGATATAATTTTTTTTAGATACACGTTTTCTCAACTAGACATTGCTGAGAAATTCAAGTAGGGAGCTGCGCCAGCACGCGTAGGCTGCAAAGGAACAAGTAAAGGTTTATTCCAGCTGAAAAGAGAAGAAATGAAACACAACGTTTCGGCTGTGGAGCCTTCTCCACCTGAAGAAGACTCCACAGCCTTCACACCTGAAGAAGGCTCCACTCCCAAAGCTGTGTTGCTTTTCTTCTCTTCTCAGCATGGAGTAAACCATTACTTGCTCCTTTGCTGAGAAATGTTTTTCTTATGGCCCTGAAAGGCCGTTATGTGCCAACGACAGGCTCTCTGCCGGTCCCGAGAGCAGCAGACCTGCATCGCTCATG